TGACGTCAATTTTCCTGCTAAATCTTTTGGAGAAACTGATTTTTTTCATGGGTGACGTGACACAAAGTCATGTGACGTCATTTTCACAGCTAAATTCAGCGGGGAAACTGAATTGGTCTTGAGGTCACGTGGCGCCAAATTTCCAGCTAAATTCAACGTGAAAACTGTGGGAGGAGGGCAGTGTATAGAGGAGGAGGAGGGGAGGACACGAAGGAGGAATATTGGAGGGTACTTAGGAGTAGGAGTGCCCGGTTCGGAGGAGGGGGAGGATAAGAGGAGGAGGAGTGAAGAAGGCAGAGGAGGGGGAGAGGGGGACGAGGAGTATAGGAGGAGGTGGAGGACGAATAGGGGAGGATAGGAGAGGAGGATAAGAGTACAAAGGAGGTAGAGGGGCATACTCTCCCACCCGTCCCCTCCCCTTCTCCTCCTAGAGAGCTGCGCACTAAGTTCACATTACAGAGATTTGTGAACGTCTTTCATTTTTTTATTTTATTTGTAAATCACCGTAGAGAAACTTTAGGAAGCTGCTTCTGAGGTGGGTAGAAAGCAAGGAGCACATATTTACTTCTCATACATACTTAAATATTTAAACAGATATGGTATGTAAAATAGAAGATATATACACAATATAAAATTCAGAAAACAATAGAATTAATAGCACGAGAAGCACTTGAGAGCAAAATTAGAGAAATATACATTTATAAAATATGTCGCACCACCACAGTTTTGATTATTAGAAACTTAGTTGTTTCCGGCAGAGAAAAAAAATAAAATTTTTTCCAATCAACAGATAGATGACCCGATTCACAGTTTCGATGCTTTCCTAGCAACTGCATACCTTTTCGAATCAGGATTTTGCAGATATCTGCTCAAAAAGCGTAAATGGAACAGGAGCCATTCATAGCAGAACATCCGGAGGAACCTCTTGCAAATTACTGTACAGAGAAGGTCTTGGAAGTGTTCTCCCATAGAAGCATAAATATTCTTCATGACATCACGCTTGTGTACTACCATATTTGGAAGGAACGCCAAAAAGCACTCTTCAAGCTTTCCCACGAAAGCTATGCAAGGGTCTGTGGGCACAGAGAGAGCCCCAAGAATGCCTGTATCGTCCGTGCGCTAAGCACGTCATACGATTCGAACTTCTAGCAAATTTCAGGTGCAACGTCGCTCCCACATCAGAAAACAAAACAAAAACCAACATAGGCGGCAGCTTGAGTGCTAGGTCCACGGGCTTTCGACTATCGGGAGTTCCCGCACCATTTCCCTGCGCAACAGTACCAAGGCATCCTCTTCTGAGAACACTAGAGCTTCCCAAGTCAAATTAACGCGGACCGATCGAACGCCACTTTTTCCACAGAACAGTGTCCCGTGTTTCATAATAGCTGAATCTCGTTTCCCCTTCTTTATTACAATTATTTTCTATTTGGTTTAGGCCAGTCTGGCTACGAAAAGTTATCTTTCATCGTTCGATGTATTTTAAACGTGGCATATTGATCAGTCCGTCGCAACAATGAAAACAAAGCGGAAGAAGAAAAGGTACTAGAAACTAACAATAGATTAAAAAAAAAACATTTCATTGATGAAATCCCGACCATACTTTCACAATATCAGCTTCATTTTTACAGCTATTAAAATATTTATTTGTCTTTTCTTTCGCTTTTGACTTGCTTGCAATAGGAGATGACGTATCTGACGACCGAGGTGGAAGGTAGAAAGAAAGTGTAACGCCATGAGTTTCTAAGGTGACCGCCGCTTTTGGTTCGTGTGTAGCATGCTAAAAATATGTTTCGCTTTCTATTTATTTAAACAGAAAAAAGTGAATATAGAAATCACAAAATGAGGCACAAACGGTAAATAAAAGTAATTTGGGATTTTTTGTGGGACATATTTGATTTAAACCGTCTTAATAAACCACACTGATTTAAATCCCGATTTAAATCAGAATTTGAAACATCTTGATTTTTGTTCTGCACCCTGCTCGAAATAGTTACTTCATTTTGCCCCAAGTCTGTTAGTTACATTTACACCCTCCCTCAAAGTACTGATCATAATATTAAATTCTATAAAGTTAAATTTCGAAAACAAATGCAATATCTTCAGCGAGGCTGAGCATTTGAAACGCGCCAGGAAAAAATTTCTTCATACTTAGGTTTAGTTTCAACGGCAACAAAGAGGCAGGCTACCTACAAGCTTTCAGAAGTAAGCAGAGACGGTGAAACATAAACCAGCAACAGTATACTTCAACTTTTAATTTTGAAATTTGTTAGAAAATGTTTATACCGAGCACCCCGAACAAAAAGCTTCTCCATTTGGAAGCTTCAATAGGTCCTGTGTCCCTGCACATACGAAACATAATACAATAATACAAAAAAAAACACTATTACCTACGCAAAATAAGTGTGCATTGTTTTTTACTTAAACAAGCAATTTCAATGCGGTCGAAGTCGAAGCTGATAAACAAGTAAGAGTCGAGGATATAAGGGAATGCAAGTATTTTTTACAGGACGCCTACTCCTGGTTCCAGTCATCCATGCTTGTGTACAACACCTCGAAATGAAAATTACTACTGTGATAGAACCTCTTGGAAATGCGACCATGAAATGCACTGGAAGGCCCATGCCCGAGGCCTATAATTGTATTCAGGTAGAGCACAGCGCACGCCAATTGTTGCTTGTGGCTCGGGAATGACTGCTTAAATGATATGAAAAACGCGCAATCTCAAAGAAGCTTGCACGTGGAATTTGCATAACAGATAACCAGTTGTCCGAAGCTTTAAGCGGTAAAGTGGGGCCGGGGTAGGTTGTACATCGGAATATTATGCCAAAATTTAAAAGATCCACAGTCGGAAAACAAATATACTGAGAAGTCTTTTCAGGGCTGTTTAATTATCTAAGCGGCTTTCGTTAACCCAATATGCATTTAAGCTACAACACACTTGGCTGAAATATAAGCATACATGTTTATGATCCGAATAATGTAGAGGAGAATGATGTAACAGAAGGGTAGATTTGAAATGCAGCAAAGTGCGAAGTCGGCTTCTCGAAAAATACCTTGTCTTGTGTATTCAGGACATAATTTTCCGCCAAGTTACGTCATCACGTCCAGTCAAAAGTATACGCAAAAATTACTCGAAAGTTTCTTTTGTCATCAAAAGAACACAGAAAATGTGTGACTAGAAGAACCAGAATATATCTTAAACCCCTGAAAGTGCGACTTGAAATATGCGATTAGGTATAAAATAGGCACCCGAACTACACATATTCATTAAGAGTACTAGACTACATTTACGGAACTAGCAAGTATTGAGCCTTTTTTAGGGTTTTTCCCCTAATTTTTAACTTGTTTGAAAACTTCTCTTAGCTGAACAAGAAAAACCTAAAGGAAACAACTTATTCCAATATTTATTAAGCCTCGCCTAAAAAAAAAAAGAACATTATTCGAAAGATGCAATTTGTAATTACATATCTTGCAAATTGACTCATGGCCGCATCAATACAACAAAACAAGTATTTTCAGTGGCAACACAATTGAAGCCAAATTAGGACTATATTGCGGCGTTCATGACCCAGTTGCTAATGCACACGGCCGCCACGGGGAAGGACGAAGTTCGAACGTCGCTTGACCCGGATCTTCAGCTCCGTTTTTTTTTTTTTATATTTCTCCTAGAAAATTTCAGTCCATCCTCTGTTATAATCCAGTGTTCTGCTTCGAAAAATTTCTGAATTTAGCACGTGTATAACAGCACCGGTAACGGGCTGCTTCAAGTCAGTCACTCATTTGTCGCCGTCGCAAGATGCGCTGTACGCTCTGTATTAATTAGTAGGAACAAGTTCGTTCTATTATACATTTATTTTATGGTTTTAATCGTTTACTCTTTCTGTTCATGACAATATTTATCTATTTTTAATTTGTATATACGGCCTGTATATTAAAAGAGCAGTCGGATATACAAGAACAACTGTAATTTTTTCCTCTCATTTCATAATGACTGGTTAGATTTGTAGAGTATATGAGGCACTTCTAAACTTTAAACTAACGGTATTTTAGTTAAAGACCAGGAAGGATTAATCCGGCTAAACAAGGTACAAATTCCCCATAAGGTGTATGATCTATACAGGTAATAGTTCGAAATCTATCTTTTACAAAATGGTCAATGCTTTAATTGGGACACACAAAAGTGTGAATGGTATAAGTTTAAACTATTTTTCTTTTGTTTGCTCAACATTCGCAATGGCAACACAAATATTTGATGACACGTATTTTACACCGTTGGCTGATTATATCTGCAGTGTATCACTAGCCTCACTGAAAAACTTGTCTTTAGTTTGATTCGTTAACCAGATGGATCTTCTGTTCCGTAATTTAGATAGCGAAAGGTTATACTAGATTTTTCGGTAGGGTGGTAAAATCAAAACTAGCAGTATTTCATAAACACGCACACTCTAAAATTTTGATGCTTCTACTTTCTCAAACAACCATTGGGAAATAAGATTCCTTTACCCTTGGGGAAGCTCGGAGAATTACGCGCCTGAAAATAGGATTAGCCCTGGAGAAAAACAGTGCGCGGTGACACCGAACATGGTGCGAGCAACGTAATGCTCAGTGTCTCAGTGGAAGAAAGTTTTGCGGTCTAAAGATAGTTTTCATCTGTTCATTCGCCAGGCTCTGACCGTTGAATTCAGGGATTGGCTTTTCCTAGTGCTTTGCCGGAAAGTAGACGCACTGCATTTTTAGAGTGTAAGGTAGCATGAGGATAGCTCAAGGATGTACCCGGTATGAAACACATCTATGAGTGCATTCTAATTGCAAATTCCAATGCGAAATTAAACGTAATGGTAAGTGCTTGCGGAAAGGTACAGAGTTCGGGTAAATATATTCCTAACATAACATTTGCAACTTGAGTGCTCGCAAATCGTCAGCATGATAAATTTAATGAATTTTAACATTATTTATCTAATATACGCACAATATGTCACTAACCACATACAACCACTTGCCTTTTGTTTGTTCCGCAGGGCGATCTGCTGATGCTCGGTGAACTCGCCGATGCAGCGCGTCCCCCACAGAACGAGGCTCATACGTGCGTATGTTGCTGCCATGGTAACCACGGGAAAGATGTACGTGAGTATCAGGAGAAAGACATTGTACCTGCCAGAGAAAAATGAAGCGTTAATTAGTGTTCCATCTAAAACAGTACTTATGCATTTTGGAAAACTATTGCTGGATTATATCTCATACTTTCTTTACACAAGTTACTTTTTTCTTGTTTTTTTTTTCTTTTTTTTTAGAGCGCAGCTCTTAAGCGCCCGTTTCCGGCTTGAGCGGCGTCGTCATCACCGTCGCCGTCGCCGTCGCCGTCGGCGTAACCAAGGTCATCCCAAAGTCACGTGACCCCCAGGACACGTGACCCCCCAAGGTCACGTGACCCCCAGGACACGTGACCCCTCAGGGTCACGTGACCCCCGAGGTCACTTAACCCCTCCCAAGGTCACGCGACCCCCTAGGTCACGTGACCTCCCAGGTCACGTGACCCCGAAGTCACGTCTCCCAGGTCACGTGACGGTCACGTGACCCCCAAGGTCTCATGACCCCCTGAGGTCACGTGACCCCCCGAGATCACGTGGCCCCCAGGTCACGTGGCCCCCCTCCCCCCCCCCCCCCCCGAGGTCACGTGACCCCCTCCCCCCGAGGTCAGGTGACCCCCCGGAGCATATTAAAGAATGAGGGGAGAGGAGGAGGAGGAGAAGGAGGAGGAGGAGGGGTCTACCCTCCCCTCAGTACCCTTCCCTCCTCCTCCTCAAGAGCTGCGCTCCTATTCGGCGTTACAGGGAGTTGTAAACGGCTTTCACTTTTTTGTTAACATGAGAGTTGAGGTGGTTGACACTGCTTGGCGTTTTGTCAAGAATGTTTTCGATAAATAATTTTAGAGGTATCGTGTGAGGTGCGTATTTTTAGATTTCGCGAGAATTGCAATTACCATTCCACGACTATTAGAAACAAATGCAACGCTTCGATGAAGCAAGTGAGTGGTTGTATGTGTGACTTCTTTATTATCAATAATAAATTGTATCCCTCATTATTTTATTGTGTTTTTTATAATAAAATGTAAATATCAGCTTTTTCAAGAGTATTGTGCGAAAGAAACGCTAAGAAAACCTCGAGCTCGCAAAATATCGATCGACTTACCGAAAAATGAAGTAACTAATCACCAAATAGTTTCTTAATTGATTACTCGGAACAGAGGTTAGTTCATTTTCAACACTTAAAGAGGTTGAATATTGCAACCAGAAATTATTGACATGCTGGCAAGTGCGGTTACAGATGCAGCTTTCTTATTTATTTATTTTAATTTGAACTCCTTTAAACAAGGGTGATTTTTACAGGAATGATTGCTGTCTGTTGTCTCTGCTTATTGGACTTGAATAACTTGGGTAGCGTTAGATAAGGAAATAACCGTCAAGGTTAGCAAAGTAACTAAGATGAATTATTTACTTTTCTAATCAATGCTTCTAATGTTTACATGCTGGTCACTGTTTAAAATGCATATATACTAATAGAGAAACATATACACAGTTTGCCAAAGGCGACGGGTTTTTAAATATGCATCGATGAGTTCACTCGTTTTTGTAGCCCGATATTTTAAGCGTGGTAAAAAAAAAGCAGAAAGGTACGTTTTTCGGGTTCACATAATAACTCGGTCGCGTAAAATTAGATGATGGTCCGACATCACACCGCTGCGTTCATGACAAGCTAACCCAAAATAGTTGGCCGATCTTCTGCATATCAAAGTGTGCAAGACATGCGGCAGCTCTTCATCAGGTTTAGAATTCAGGTGACGAAATCTCAGAACAGATCAATCAGCACATCAGGGTTAGTTAATTACTGCATCGAAAACTGCTTAAATTAGTTTAGCCTCCAGTTATGACTCTTTTTTTCAAGCTCAAACTATAATTTAAATAAAAGTAATAGTTAAAACTCTCCCGATTTTTGTTCATTGGCACAATCAAGGGGATGGTTATTACAACATATTTTTTGTAAGTTCAAAAGAGACTCAATGAATATGGCATCGATGTATGCGCTACCCAACATTATTTATAAAAAAGAAATAAGAAATGACGATAATAATCCCTAGAAAAAAGGAACAAGGGGGACAAAGGGCAAACACAAATCTCTAAACACAGCTAGGTGACTGGTGCGCGACAATAAAAAATCCGCCTGGTCCTGGTATCAAACCAGGGACCTCTCCATTTTCAGTGGAGCGCTCTACAAACTGAGCTATACAGAAGTGAGATGTCAGTAGAGCAAACAGGTTTTATCAGTTGCCACCAGTCCGAGACCAAAAAGGGTGAACGGCCTGCATTTTAAGGTTATGATGACAAAGAAATTAATGCAAAAGTGCAAACAAGCTGGACAACAATGACGATAATCATCCCCGCAAAAGGGGAACAAGGGGGACGAAGGTCAATCTCGTCCAGACCGCTGGCACCTTTGATTAATTGCATTATCACAATAAAAAATACCCTGTAATATATTTGTGAGAAGAGATCAGGTAAAGGATAATTCAGTTTAGAGAGAAAAAATTCGGGAACTGAGTGAGAGAACGCTGAATTTGGAAACTAAATTCCTAACCTCAAATCAGACCAGCTACTTCATAAAGGGAAGAAAAAACTTGAGGGAAAGACAGAAAACGTTGTTCGAGAAACGAAAGCACGACAACAAACGTATATCTACTTTGTCCATGAACCTTTGTGATAATATGCTTACTCTTTTGATATTTGTAATAAGTATCAGAGTATCAGTATACCTGTTTTCAGAAGAACACGTATAGACGCTTTACACACGCGCCAGAATACAGCCGCCATTGCTGACCTTCTCTTGTTTTACCGAGATACCGAGCCACTGAAATTTGTGTGGACGAGCCTCCACAAAGACCAATGCTGGGGAGAAAGACAGCATAAAATCTAGGATGGCAATGACCTAGCCTGCTATGGTAATAATGAAGTGAAGTAAACGTGATAAGGGGAAACAAAAACTGAAGGTCAGTTATGGCGGCGCCCAAGCACAGCTGCTGCAAAGCGTCTATAGTTGTTAAGCAAAACTGGTCGTTTCCGAACACCGAATGCTGCGCACTGTCATTCGGAAACGCCGTAACCGCTCGCCTCGTGGACCGGCCAATATTTTTGCAATAAATTCTGTGACACCACGTATGAGGTTGGGTGTAAAAAAGCGTTGAATGAAGGGTGTTAACACCCCTTTCCTTTTGCTTATTTCAAACAAACGACGGCGCACTTAATCAAATTCCTGCCGCGACCCACTCCTCCACTCCCACCAAATGTGATAAAAGACGATGTTTCTTCCAACGATTCAGCGTTTCAAGCTCAGTGAATATCCCCATCGCTAGCGCAAAGAAAGGAAAACAAAATGTAGAGCCGATCCACTTCACGTGAAGATGGAGGACCAGCGAAGCTGTTATATTTACGACAAATTTACGACAATATACGACAACTTCACAACTGTACGACGTCTAAAGATTTACATATGATTGCAATGAAAAAACGTTCATGACTTCCTTGTTTATTTGCCTTTATTTAATTCTTAGTGACAAAAGTGATCATTGATTTCTGGTCACTTATGGGCAAACTCTAAATTAAAGTTTCTGAGGCACACCTCAAGGACAGTTTTTTTTTCGATTGAGCCCAAGTCTTTATCAGCATCACGGATGCGAAAGAAAAGAAGGTTAGATCGGCGCGTTCTGCCCTCAGCCTAGTAAGAGCGCACTCTCAGCAAAGTCGGTGACTGTAGATGATAGCGAGAAATCAGGACCTCACTATCTAATAATGCCAAGGAAGGCTGACTCACACGGGTTGCCCCCTCTTTTTATTTATACTTGCCACGACCAATCGGAGCGAAGGAGCGCCGTTTAAACAGGAGTTTTTTTCTATTAACATCCATGGACTAATGTTTTTACACACCTTAGCACCCATAACAGCTTCCCTGTATAACTGAAGATCGCATGATCTGTCCTGTCAAAAAAAATCTACATATTGAGGCTAACCCCGAACAAAGACTATCTGCCCAATCATGTTGCATTTAGATCCCGTCGGGAATGTTCATGAGTCCTTTGGTTTATTACCTTCCGAATACGTCAAGGGCTACACCATATAATGAAAACAACAACAAAAAAATATTGTAAGGATACCTTAACGACAGAAGCAAAAACCAACTACTATATCTCAGCCTTTATCGTCACTCCAGCACAGGAGACCAAGTCGATCTTGAGATGATGGTACCCTGAAATGTAGGTCTTGATCGGGAGTTTTGCCTTATTACTATTTACTTTTTTATATTTTTAGCTCTTTTTTAATTTATATAATAAATAATGTAAGTCTTTACTAAGTGTTTGATTATGAAAGTGCTAATAAACATGCAGTACTATTTTTGCTGACCGATTTTTTTTTTTAACCATTGGGGAAAAAATACTTGTGCTATTCCATCTGAGATTCTTATTTTTTCTTTCAGTGGAGCGAATTTAGATGGTTCTTGTGGATTATGTAATAAGAAGATCCGCCACAATTATTTTTATGTTATACTTGATGGGTAGGTTCAGAGAACTGTTTTGCAATGGAATATTTTTAAATATTGGTAGTTCCTTGGAAAAACACCGTCAGAGATGATAAAAAAGCAATGAAATCAATTAATGGAAGCTCTAACCTAAATAGAGCCTGGAGTGAGATCATGTGTGCAATAGATCTAAAAGTCTAATGGTTATTTGTTCTAAACAGCCATGAGGAAATTAATCCGCTAGCTGCTATTAGCGGTTTCTCAGTTAGCGGGAATTAATCCGCTAACTGAAAGGAGGCAGTCCCTGTGCGTAGAAAGAGACATACAAGGCCACAGCAATGACGCAGCTCTTTGACCACAAATGTTCAAAGCCCATCAAAATCGTCGGCCGCTCTTTCCACTGTATTGTTGCTAAACTGCCGTGGCCTTCAAAATAAAGTAGATGATTTATTTTGCCTTGCAGAATCAATAAAGCCAAGAATTATCATGGGCACTGAGTCATGGCTCGATGAATCCGTGCTGGACAGTGAAGTATTTCCTGGTGGCTTCTCTGTCTACCGTAAAGATCGACACGCACATGGCGGAGG